AAAGTTATAAATCCCAAACTGGTAGCTTCGCTTCAATATATCGAGCCAGCCTGTGTCGGATGGGTTAGTTGTGTGGTGTGTCAAAAATCTGGGGTAAGAATACTCTTTTGTCAAGTTTTTGCAGAATCATTGGACAGGGGTTAGTCATTTTAAAATTATCCTATCTAAAATAAATGTGTATAATTTACTCACAGGTATATGAATTGGTTCAATACAAATTCAATCTGCAAAGAAAAAAAATGAAAGTTATGTGACACGGAAACTATTTGGATCCATTGCTGTATTACCTGACTTTTACAGAGGTCAAAGACAGCGGGGTTTTGCATGCTGATGAACAGAAAACGATTATACAACTCCACAAAGACTAAATGAGTAATGTCACAATGAACTGATAGTTTCAGAGAAATTATGTAACTTTCCACTCTTTTTTATTCGGAATAGATCAGAGTCGCTCAGACAAGCCAGTACAAATGCATGGTTGACTGTGTTTCGATTTCTGTCACACATAAAACATTTAACAAATGCAGATGTCAGAGGTTACTTGCTTGGAAGAACATGAGCTGCAGAAGCTCTGGCAAATGAGACAGGCCTATTTCTACTGTTGTTCATGTTCTGTACTGTTGTACGGCTCATGTTCCAAAAATGTCACTAAAAAGAGAGAATAGAAATGCTGAGTAGGGTTTTTTATTATTAAAGGAATAAGAGAGCTAGGTTGCCTCTCGAATGAACTAACATTCTACAGCATTAGAGTGCGCAAGACTGGTTAGAGCATGTGGTCACCCCAGAAGACTGTCTGTTCAAGACCTACATGATTTGAGGGTAGCTCGTGGAACTAAGCAAAATGTTCATCTGTAAGCTGCCAGGTTTGCTTATCTTGTCTGTAGACATTTGTGCTCAAAACAAATGGGGGCGACCTAATAATTTCATATCAGACAGTGCACCTTTAAAAACAGGCATATATCACTCAGCCATTGGAGAGAGAACACTGACACATCTCTGTGCCATGTGTCTGGGTTTGTGAACTGAATAAACACTCGCTATGAGCATGTTGTTATTGGGACTGACTCTTGTTAGTTTTAGCCCTGTTTTCTGACAGATTCTTTTTCTTTTACCTCAGCTTTTCGAGCATTTGCACAAACACAAGAAAGGCCGGTGGCTGACAATTTTATAGAATCTTTTGGTTATTTTCGGAGCATGATTCAAAGCATTAGCTACATAGCAGTTCTGCGCAGCCTCTGGGGTTTGGACTGAAGAAACTTTTAGCTCGCACCAAAATCACATGGGCCTCAGCTGGCATTGCCAAAATCTGTTCTTTTTTTCCACCACCGGTTTAATAATTTATACTCACAACTCGACCTCCAGTATTTGACGTTTCTCCCTAACATGCCTACAATGAGAAAGAAGCTCACTTGCTCTCAGATATGGAGAGGGCTGTTCTTCCAAACCTCTTTCACCTTCGCTACATAGTACAAATTGCCTACAACACTAATGAATCCGTTTTCAACACTTTCACAATGAGTGCCCTCTTCTGAGGTGCTTGTACACGTGACAACATATTTCCGCCACAAGATTCTACCGCAGTTGTTAAAGGATTATTTGTCCACTGCCATGTGAGAGAATAGGCCTCAGAGGCAATGCAATGGACCTGTCAGAAAGGAACTGTCGACAGCTGACAGGTTTGTTGTTCGCAGACAATGGCCTTTGCTTGCGTGAGCATTCAGGCCCCCTGTACCTGCAGAGAAAGTCAGGAAACACTAAAGAAGAAATAACTACAGCCTCTACAGCAGACAGTGAGGGCGCAACAGCTAGTGTCTCGCTCTGTAATGTGAGCAATGATAAATAAACACGCGCAGGCCCAGCTGCTGATGGAGCTGTGTTTGTGTGTTACGCTGAGTGTAGTCTTAATTTCCTCAGCACGTTTTCACAGTCATTAGGAGGAGTTCTGCTTTTTTTGTAGGGGTAACAGGAGGGGCAGGGGGATGTTTCGGGGAGCTGGGGG